ATATTCTGTTTAGTACCTTTATGATAATTTTTTTATGTCTAGATCTTTAACCTACTAGGAATTCATTCTTCTGCTTGGTGTGAGGTAGGATTTTAACTTTTCCCAAAAAGATAGCCAGTGTGCCAGCACAATTTATTAACTAATTTATCCTTTTTCTGCTAATATGAAATGCTATCTGTATCATGTACTAAATTTCTATATACACCTGGATCTGTTTCTAGACTCTGTTATGTACTATTGGCTAATTTTATATATTCCTAAAGCCGTATGAAAAGGAATTTAATCTCAAGAACCTTTAGAAAATATATTTTCTATCCCAGATATACCTCCAAGAACTTAAAGCCAGTATAACACCTGATGGGTATTCTGTGGTCTTCTCTGTGTCCGAGCTCCCCATAAACCACTACTTCCTTTGAGTATGAAACTCACCTGGGGTGCTTTGCTGACCTTAGACCTGTGGCCTGTTGCTGAGAAGAAACATCCAGACAGGATGTGACATGGAAGCTCGGAGGGGATTAATACCCTGAGAAAAGATGACCAGATAATTTTATCCTTCATTTAAGTGTGTGGTTTACCTTATGGTAGACATCTAGGTTCTTGGCTGACATTTCCACTCTTTCTTAAAACCTCAGACCTCATTCTGATGTCAGAGGGAAAGAAAATGGGAGGACCTGATTGGCCTTTTCAGTTGGATAATGGGCCTCACCAGCGTAGAGTGTGTGGCTTTGCTCAAAGGTGAATGTTGTGGGTTTCTCTCAAGACACTCAAGGTTTTGTTTGGGCCTTTAGGTGTTAGCCCCAATATTTTAATGCAGAATATTGATATTTTGGTTTTTATGGCTTGGAAAATTAAAGTTTGTTTCCCTTTAATACCTCCTTGTACTGTTATTGAAGAAGAGCCATGTTATAATTTGTTATTGCCACTAATACTAAATATAATTTGTCTTTACATATCTTTTATTACAAAACCAGATGTCATACTTTTCTGATAAATTTTTTCAAAGGTTGACTTATATCATTTGATTGCTTACTATAAACTTCATAGAACGTTACTTTTAATTATAAAATAATTATTACTTGTAAATCATATTTTCCTATTGAACATCATTTTAGTTTGTCAGCTAATAGAAACTATTATACCTTTTTAACTTTTGATATTTCAGAAAAATATGCCCAAATTCAACAAAATTCCTTTCTACCTCCAACCTCATGCATCTTCAGGAGCAAAAACCTTAAAAAAGTAAGTAAATGTAGTGTTGTGTGGTGCCTTAATCTAATTAATTACTGGAGAGAATTCTTTTTCCTTATGATTGCTTTTATGGTAAAGGAGGCAAATGCTAGATCTAAGGCTGAGTTTTATAATATTGTGTGTATATGTAAGTTTTAAGAACCTGAATTAATCTCATTTAGTTGCATATAGTCTGTCTTAGGAGTACACTATAGAAAATCTTGCAGGCGTGGGGAAGCTGTGGCCTTCTGATTTCAAGATTGTTCTTTGTTAAGCACCAAAGGAGTCAAGAAAAGCTTTGTCTTTCTCTACTGCTCCCCTTTTAATAAAAGGATTTGTTCTGTAAAATTTGGATTTAGTCAAAAGGCCACACTTAGGGATCTAGAAGGCCACATGTGGCCTTAAATCTGCAGGTTCCCCACCCCTGGAAGGCCTTGACATTTATTGGTTTATTTCTATGGTATGTTTTGTCTTTATAAGATGTTAACACCAAAGAAAAAATAATATGGTAGAGAAATCTAGTGATTTCCCTGATGTCACAATATGCTATTGCTTTTTATAGGGACAGACTCTCTGCTAGTGACATGCTTCAAGTCCGGAAAGTTATGGAACATGTTTATGAGAAAATTATCAACTTGGATAATGAATCTCAAACAACTAGCTCTTCTAATAATGAAAAATCAGGAGAACAGGAAAAAGAAGAGGATATTGCTGTAATGGCAGAGGAGAAAATTGAACTTTTGTGCCAGGACCAGGTAAGTGGACTTGAGGACCACATCCCCATTTTTTCCAGTGCTGGTGCTCAGAAAAAGTGACATAATATGGTGTGATTGTAGTTCTCAAATCTATTGCCTTTGAGGGGGCTTCTGCTTTTAGAAGGCTCTAAGGAGTCCTGGGTCTTTCTCTCACCTATTTGTGAGGCCCCTTCGGAATGGCTCTTCAGTCCACCCTGATGTTCCTGTTTACCCCCAGGAAGGTTTTCAGGAAAAGGACACATAGATTTAAATACACATATAGGCCAGGCGAGGTGGCTCACGCCTGTAATCCTAACACTCTGGGAGGCCTAGGCGGGCTGATTGCTCGAGGTCAGGAGTTCGAAACCAGCCTGAGCGAGACCCTGTCTCTACTAAAAATAGAAAGAAATTAATTGACCAACTAAAAATATATATAGAAAAAAAATTAGCCGGGCATGGTGGCGCATGCCTGTAGTTCCAGCTATTCGGGAGGCTGAGGCAATAGGATCGCTTGAGCCCAGGAGTTTGAGGTTGCTGTGAGCTAGGCTGATGCCATGGCACTCACTCTAGCCGGGGCAACAAAATGAGACTGTGTCTCAAAAAAATAAAAAATAAAATAAATAAATACACACATAGACAAATGTGGATGTGCTGGTAGCTTTTTTTTTTCTTTCTTTCCTGACAAGAAAATGACATACAGTCTTTATGACTTGCAGAGCAGCATATGCCTTGTTAGTTTAAGATTTGGAGTGAGGTAGGTGCAGAAATGGCAGAGCTATTTTTGTGCTCAAGGCATGCCTTCAGAGGAATGGTCGAAAGAGGGTTTGGTTTCTCTGGCATAGTCACAAAAGATGCACATCTCACTGTGCGCAGTTTCAGGCCTGCATGCATGGAAGCTGAGACAGCCAGAGCAGGCCATCGGGCATGGGAGAGGAGTGAACAAGCTGGATCATCTGATGAAAGTCCCTGAGTTAATGGTAAAGTTTTAGATATTAGGGACTGAAATTTTTTTATTTTTCGCTATTCAGGTTTTGGATCCAAATATGGACCTTCGAACAGTGAAGCACTTCATATGGAAGAGTGGTGGTGACCTCACCCTCCACTACCGTCAGAAGTCCACGTGAAGGGTGGGCTAATGCTCCTGGGTATTCATTTACTACCTTCCTCTATGGCCCCAAGAGTAGTCCTAGGAAGCCCACTGAGCCCCAACGGGAGCAAGACTCCTAACGGCCGACTTGGTATGGACCGAGATTATCTTTCAATTGAAGTGACTAATTGAGATGTAATATAGAAACCAGTCTCCACGTGTAGATTAAGCTGTCCCCAGAGGAGCAGAGTGCAAGAGCAGAAGAGCCCCAAGCAGACACTGTCTTGCGAGATGTACAGAGAACTCACAACAGGCCAGTGCAGACTTTGCTTCCTCCTTTTGTTTCAAAGGACCTTATCTTTGTTAGCACTTGTTAGTGACACATTGATCAGGACGCATCTGTCACTGTGTTTCGACTTCAAACCCACACACTCTGTAGCTTTTCTAAGAGCGTACATTCCATTCATGCAGTAGCTATGAAGGCTTTTTCCAAGTTTGTCATAAAAAAAAATTGTTTTCACCATTTAAGATATTTTTAATGGGAATTTGCTGTTGCACAATTTGAGAACCAGCCCGTTTCATAATAAATGATCAATGTTGGGCTTGTTTTTAATATTGCATCTCAGATGTGTTCTTGTAGGAAGATGTGTTGAAATTCCAGGTGCTGGAATCACAGCACTTGGACTGCTGGGCCAGAGTTTGCGCAGCCCGTGCCTAGCGATGCTGCGCTCCCCCATGATGCCCTGGCTGTGCAGCAGCCCCGGGGAGGTGCAGCGGTCCCCCTTCCTCCACTGTGTCCAGTTTTATTTATAGGCAAAGCCAGCTGAGACCACAGGGTCTTGCTCTAGTGAGCAGCATGACATCATCAAAACCTAAGACCATGATGAAGTTTTAATTTCATTCAAATGTTACTTAAAACTTACAGTGTCAGAGTAAAGGGATATCATAGTGAGTTAATTTGATATTCATAACCTAGAAGTATACATATTTGTTTTTCCAAAGTTTTATATGCAGGTTTTTGTTGTACCTGTATCCTGATCTTCTTTTCACTGTTCTTTCTAACAATCTAAAGCTTTCATAGAATCATTTGGATCTTGTACAGAATATAACTTATTGGGGATAAACACTTCAACTTTTGGCAGAAAATACTTTGGATTTCCCCAAGGTCATTTGTATTCAGACTAGATCAATGGTCCACCCCCATAAAACTGCATAAGACAAGCCTCCTGTACGAAGCCAGAAGCACAAGTGCCTTCAGAGGGCAGTTTATTCCAGTCCAGTCGCCTCCCCAGCTTGTGTGTGGCTTGTCCCCACAATAGCAGGGACTGGGGAGGGGGTGGGGGAAGGTTTTTTTCTTTTCTATATCTTCACAGGTTCAGCTGGGGGCAGCTGATGGGCCCAGGTCCATACTTTACTTATGAGATATTCTGATCCGCACAACTACAGAGACAGGGTTCCCTCACTGCTGGCCAGCTTCCTTTGGAAAGTGGACAAGCCATTGTCTCCTACACTTTGAAGAAGTGAGCAAAGACGTGGCCACATTTCCAATGAACTGAAATGGTCATTTTCCCTTCCTCAGAGAGCAACCAGCTTCTTTTTTTTAAAAGTCCTTTCTATCTATCTGTTGGATACAACAGTGCACTTTTGGTGTACATTTTTTAGCAATAGTTGTGAATTAATGGCAAAAAAAAAAAATTACCAGCCCCAAGTTGTGTTTGCACGAGGGGCCTTTGAGCTGAAGAAATGGGTTTTGCTGGGTTATTTTGCCCTGTGTGCTGAGCCTTGGGTGGCTGCGCTCCCTTCCTGTCATAGATCTGACCCCTGGCATGATTGTACATTTTTCCCCCTCCAGTCAAACCAGTAAGTAATACAATTTCCAGAAAATTTGACAGTCTGCAATGCCAAAAGAGTAAAAATCTGTATTTCACAGTTGTATAGAATAAAGGCTTTAGTTAAAATATTTCAAAGTGTAGTACACATTTATTTTTTTTTCACTTGTCATTTTCCTTTATAGATTACAGAGATAAGAAAGAAACCTCTGGTTTCATGTTCACCCTGGAAAGTAGGATTATTACCCATTTTATCCTTCAGTTTACGGGGGAGGGAAAAGTACAAATGAGGGAGGGAAGAGCCAGAACCTTCAGGTGAGGGCAACTTTGGGTCAGACTGCCAGGCTACATAGTTAAGGGAAGCTGGCCCCAGAACAGTCCTGTGGCGATCCTGTTCTACTTCCTGCATTGCTGCAGACTTGACACTGGGCTCCCAGACAATCCAGGACACAATGGCTCACTGTTATGCACACTTATTGGCTACTCTGGTAGGCTTGACAAGGGTTTGCTTTAAATGTAGTCACAGTGCCTAAAACTTAGGGGCCCTCTCTCCATATGGTCAGTCTGTGCCTGCCCACCCCGGGACAGCCCTTGTCCTGCAGACCTGCCAGAGCTCGTGTGTTCCCTATACATACACTGACATTACAAATCATGCTATAAAAGTGAGACTTTAAACTGGGAAGAAGCTGGAAGACAAAGCCAGAGGCAGCTTTCACAGTAATTAGCAAGGAGTGTGGGATGGTGAGGATCCAGTCAAAGCAGAATGAGACTGCAGTTGATAAGGGGCTGCAGGAACTGAGCAGAGTTCCTAGCCTTAGCCTCCAAAGGCACCTGGAGGTGGGCAGAACAGCTTTCTCCCATAGTACAGGAAAGAACAGAAGGGCCCTTACCCTCTTGTCTATGCCCCTAATTCCTCCTTGGGTTGGGGGCTGCTATATGTGAAGAGACCTAGTTGGCTTGGAGAGTCTGCTTAGGATGGTGAACTTTACTTTGCAACTTTAATTCACTATTGGGACTATTTGGATGCCTTGTATATTTAGAAGACATAGTAGTTTAAGTTTGGGAGCTAACAGGTGTCGCCACTGGGGATACTAGCTCTGTGGCATGTAGGCCCAAGGAAGAAGAAACATTGTGGTTTCTGGCACAAGTGGGTCTCTGCTAAAGGGCCTAGAACTTCCAACCCCCCCCCCTCCCTCCAGGAGAGGTGGGCAAGTATACTGCCTCTCTCCTCTAACCATGACTGGCATGTTGGCTAACCTGAGCCAACTGTGGCAGTGTGTAGCATAGGGATGAGGGCACTTGACAGAGTGGTGTTTGGAGGCCCCTTCCAGTACAGACAGGGCTGACTGGGCTACGCAGGGATGATGAAAGCAATCAGGCCAACACTCAACACCAACCCTTTTCCTTCCTCACCCCATCTACATGCTAGATTATGACCTGACTCTGCTGCCTCCTGGGCAGCCCCAGTGACCGGAGCAGGAACAAGCACTGGACCTGAGGGTGGATGGCCGTAAGATGCCCTCCTCCCCGCGAGGCCCATGGCTTCCCCTTGACTACACACTAAGGCTTCATGCCCCACCTAAGCAGCAAATCCTTCCCCTTCCCCTAACTCATACAAACCATATTCAGTCCAGGGTTATATTCCCAGCCCTCTATCACCCCAGAAGGACTTGTTTGAAACCCCCAAAACCAGGACCATCAGTCAGGCTAAATGCTGAGAGGTCATCTCCTGGAAACCAGAAGTAGGGCCTGAGCAGACACACAAGCCCCCTGCCAGCAGAAGTCCCTGCACGTCACCTAGGGCTGCTGCCTAGGAAGCTGAACATACAGGGCCGGGCACGCAGGAGCTGGGCTGCCTGCCCACATCTGGGCCTCATGAAATGTCATTAAGAGCCCTGTCACAGCCCAGGGTATTATTCTGGGGTAGAGACTGGGGCCTGTTTGGCCAGCCCCTCAACCTCCACCCCGAAATCTGAGCTCTCTGTGCTTGCTGGCTCCTCCTCAGCCTGGGCTTCAAGCAGCTCGGCAGATAGCCCGTCTTCTGGTGAGGCTGCAGAGGTGAGACTGTCGGGAAGGGTCAGCTGAGGCAGGTGGTCCAGCTGGGCTTGGGCACTTGGGCTGTCCAGGAAGGAGACCTCAAACTCTGACCCAGACCAGGTGGTCTCACCTGGAACACAGAAGGTGAGGCTGAGGAGGAATACAGAACACAGGGCCACGTTCTGTCAGTAAACCCACTGACCCCCCCATTGCCACCTCAGGCCTTGATGGAGGATGGGAGACGGAGTGTATAGATGCTTTGATGTGGCTGTATTCAACCCAGATGGTCAGCCTCTAACCCAGCTGAGGAATTCATGGCAGCTTTCCCAGCAACCTGGAGTCCTTGCCAGAGGACTTCAGGAGATGCTAGCCACTCACCGCCCCGCTCGTGAGAACTGTTGCTAGAGCAGACGTCCTCTAGCCCTGAGGCTGAGACAGCTGTTGTGGAAGTCAGCACTGTGGAAGAGGGCAGGCTGGGCCACACACTGGCATTGCTGTTGTCCAAGAGCGAAATACCTGACACGTCCAGGAATCCTAGGGGAGGGGCACAGTTTTTTGCCAGCACAAAACCCTGACCACTGGAAAGCCAATACCCTGGGCTCACCCTGCCCTGTTCCTGGGGCATCTGGCCCAGCCTGTGAGACCGTCTTCTCAACCCTGGTGATACCTCTCGCCCAACCCCAGTGGTGCCCATTGCCTGTTTCTGAGGAAAGAAAGGGGTTGGTATCAAGGGAGTAGCGCAGTAGCAGTGGACCTAGACTCTGCTGTTTCCAGTTTGCTGTGTGACCTGAAGTAGGCCACCTCTCTTCTCTGGGTTACAGACTCCCCATCCCTGCACTGGACTGGATGATCTGCAACTATGTTGCTGTACATGAGACATGAGGGGTCAGCAGGCCCCAGGGAAAGTTTTGGCACTGCTGCCGAAGTCCAGCCCTGAGCCCAGCCCACTCCTCTCCAGGGCCTGCCCAATACCTGGGTCCATGACTCGCTGCACTGGAGGTGGAGGGTGAAGAGGAGTCTCCAAGGAATGTGGAAGTCCCCCAAGGTCTGGAGCACCATGGCTGACATTCCCAGGCCCAGGAAGTGGGCCTTTCATGGAGCAGTCAGGGGCCTGCAACAGGGCCTAGGGGAGCCAGACAAAGAGGAAACAGGGAGGGGGCAGTCAGGACAGGGCCTTGAAGTGAAGGATTTCACAGTCCAACTTAACCACCAACCCAACCTTGCCCTGTGAGCACCTCTGCCTGAAGGAAGGGAACAGCCCTACTTACCTCCCCTTCCTCTGTAGGCAACATGAAGTCGGCAGGCCTCCCCTACAGTGTGGACACAGGAGCACTCTCCTTACTGTGCGGAGAAGCCCCAGCTGCTCACCCAGCCCCAACACATTCCCTTTGCTGCTTGGGCCCCCATCAGTGACCCACAGAAGAGAGGGCCTTCCTTGAATTTAGGTGTACCTAGACAGCATCCTCAGATGCCCCCGCACAAACCCAGGCTCCAACCCAGTGCCCAAAGGCGCTCTCAGGACCAGCTCATCAGCCATGAAGGCAAAGCCAGTACTTCCCTGCCAACTCAGCCAGACAACCATCTCAGCTGGGACTCTGGAGGCCCAGCCCCTGGCCCAGCTTCACCACAGCCTCACTGAGGCACAAAACAAGCCCATCTCAGCCTCAGTTTCCCACTCATGAAATGAAGATGACAACTAGTGCCTCGTCTCCACCCTCACCTCTAGACCCAAGGGGTAGGAGAGCCAAAAGTGAATTTCACTGTCCCAGGCAGGGCCATCTGCTCCCACTGGGTCCCAGAAGCAGATGGGCCTCCCAGAGCACAAGGGCCCCACACAGACACCCCTGGTGAGGGTTGCTGATGGCTCCCCAAGAGCAGCCTCCAGAGTCTTCTCCCCTCCCAGCTGGCAGGCCCCTCTGCCCACACCAAACTCCCCTCTCCCCTGGTTGGCAGATGCTCCCCACATACCTCCACATACTCACTCTGCCTGGAACCTATCTCCAGGGCAGGAGAGTCCAGTGGGATGGGTCCAGGTGGTGGGGTAGCAGGTGGTGGGGCACCAGGTGGTGGGGCACTAGGTGGCGGGGCAGTAGGCGGCTTCTTGTGGTAGCTGGGGGACCGAGTTGGGATCCGGTGTAGATACCCGTAGCCGATGCCACACCCAAGACTGCCAAAGGCCAGAAACATTCAGTCCAGGGGCTTATCCCACCCAGCCCTTCCTACCTTCACCCCACCCACTACCAGCAGTAAGAGGGCTGGAAAGGGCACTCCTGGACCAGTGGTCAGCCTCAGGATCTACATGGGACTGTGTGGTACATGCCCACTGGTCAGACCTCACCCGCCTAGCCCTGCAGCCCTCCAACTCCAGGAAGTACCTGCCATCTCCACCCCAGGCTGCATTGGGAGTTAGAGTCACCTCCCGGCAGGAGTCAGTCTCAGTATTATAAATCATGAGCTTCAAGGGCCTCCCTTCATGGGACTCGATGAGCGAAAAGAAGTCTTCAGACTGTAAGAAACACACAGCACCTGAGGCTTGCTCCCAGGACCAGACTGGAAACCTCAACAAAACGAGACACTTCTCAGGGACAGCACCCATCTCTCCACACCTCATCCAGGGGTCCCAGGGAGGGGCGAGCCATGGGTTCCTCACCTCCTGGAGGAGCTGGTCTGCGCCGATCACATAGTCTGCGTAGGGCTGCAGGCCGGCAAGGGCGGCAGGTGAAGATGGTTCCACATTCTGGGGAAAGAATCACAAACTATCGGCCTCGCTGCTGGCGAGGTGGGAGGTGGCAGGGTAAAGAAGGGGCAGGGGGAACCACCTCTGCAGGTAGTGAGTAGGACACTTGTTCTCTGTCCCTAAGTAGGGCTTCAAGCCCAGACTCCCTCCTCCAGTCTACAGTCTGGCCAGCAGAGGGCAGCACCATGCCACAGCTCAGCAACGGGCTCTGGAATCTGACCCTGGGCTCCATCCCTAGCTCTACCAACTGCTAGCTGTGTGTCTGAACAAATTACTGAACTCTCTCAGCCTCAGGTTCCCCACAATTAAGAGTAGGATACATACTTACCTACTCACAAGGTTGCTGAGAAGATTAAAGAAATATATGCAAAGAAAGAAAACCCACCCTGGCTACAGGAAATGTCCAACTGCATTGCTGCTACTGCTGTAGGCATGTGGCTGAAGAGCCCTGGGGGTTGGAGGTGAGGGAAGTGAGCAAAACTGGAAACAAGCGAGGACTGCTCTCTCTCGGGGAAAGCTCTACCACTCCCAATCTCCCAGCCTCCCTGGGAAATGCAAAGGAGTCTGCATCATCAGTCCCATCTCACTCATGGGCAAATTGAGGCAGGCTGCAAAGATTGAGAAATTTGCCTGGGCTCCCCCAAGAAGTCAGTGAGCAATAGAAGGGGCTAGAGACCAAATTTCCAACTTCTAGCTCAGACACCCTCCTCACATTAAGCCATAGGGGCTGCACATCTGAGAACCTGAATACCACCGATAGGTGCAGGTGTCAGGTGTGCGTGGGTTAGAACAGACTCTAACATCTAGGACAGCTTAGTCACCGGGATTCATTAAGATATTGATTGATCATATATCAACGTATCAGAAAAACCACTATATAGAGCGTCACGTAGCTTAATGACAGGGACACACTATGAGAAATGTGTCATTAGGTGATGTCATTATTGTGCGAATATCCTAAAGTGCTCAGATGGTGCGGCCTACTGCACACCTAGGCTATGTGTATGGCCCATTGCTCCTAGGCCACCAACCTGTGCAGCATGTGATGTGACTGTAGGCAATTCTAACACAATGGTATCTATCTAAACATGGAAAAGACACAGTAAAAATACAGTATTATAATCTCACGGGACACAGACAGATAAGCCAGTTTGGCTGTATGTGGGGAGGGGAGGGGAAGAGGGAGAGAAGGAGGAGGAGAAAGGGAGAGGGAGAGAGGGGAAGGGGGAGAGGGACAGACTAGCAGCAGCAGCATTCCACTAGATGGCATTCCCACCTTTCAAATTAAGTAACCTAGGTATGGAGGGTAAGGGTGCCCAACATCACATGGCTAACACGAAGCAGGTATCCTGTTCAGGTAGTAATGAGCTGCTTTCTCTGGGATGGACCAGACTCTGCCCTCAGAGAATCCTCTGGTAAACCCACTGGCTGTTGGCCTCTCTAGCCATCTGGCTCTGGTCCCACCCGCCTCCTGCACGCCCCCCACCACCCCCAGACCTGCTGGCCCCGCCTTCTCCCTCATGCTGGGCGGCCCCACACTCACCAGCACGTGCCACACGTACTCGTGGGCCCTGCTGAAGCTGCAGAAGCGCACGCTGGCGCCCAGCAGGCCCCGGCCGCCCCACATGTTGCTGGGCACCACCTCCACCTCGCGCACCCTCATGGTCTTCGTACTGAACACCTCTAGCTTCACGGGCTTCTCCACATTGGCCTTCAGCAGCGCCATCAGTGTGTCATTGTCCTCGTTCTGTGGAGGCAATGGGGCTGGCTCCGAGGCTCCCCCATACCGGGGCTGGGATCCTCGTACAAGTCTGGGTCTGAGAGGGGGCAATGGCCTTGGTGGCCCGCAGCCTGGTGGGGGGATGGGCTGGGCTGGCAGCTAGGCCCAGGATCACAGACCAGGCTTGGGCCTGCAGCCACTGTGACCCCACCTCCCACCACACCCAAACCTCCCTCCCTCAGCCTGCCAGAAAACGACAAAGCAAGCGAAAAGCCTCCTTGGTCCACAGCACTCCGGTGCTGCCCCTCTGTGCGTCCCTTGGCCAGAGCCCTCACACGTGCCCCAAGAGGCAGGCCACCTCCAAGAGTCCATCTGTCCCTAGTCTATCCCAGAGAGCTCAGGAGCTGAGCTCTAGGTGGAGTCCCAATAAGGCTCTGAGTGTAGCCCAGGAGGAAGGGGAGACAGGGCTGGGCCTCCCCCTAGAAGGGAGGCAGGAGCAGGCTGGGGACATCTGTCGGACAGAGGGACAGACACACACAGACACAAGCAAAACAGAGACAAGGTAGGGAGCCTCACCAGCCTCGCATGCCCAATGGTGAGGATGAAGTCAAAGTAGGCCTCCAGGCCCGCCTTCTGGGCTGGCGAGTTCTCCTGCACCTGTCCCACAGCAGAGGCCACAGTCACTGCACCAACCCGATGGCTGTCCAAGGAGTCCCCACCCTCAGCCCACCCCCACTCTCAGTTTCAGAAACCATCACCACTCCCAGTGTCCCTGTGAGGACAGATGCCTGGCATGAACTGTTCTGGGAATTGTCAAGGTTCACTCCATCCATCCTTTCTCCCTACCTTCCTGGTCACAAATACTCTTCTTAGGAAAATGGTTCTTTCCTGAATATGATGCACAGATGCTTCTAGAGATGCTTCACAACCCAGGGCAGCCGTGGGGACTACCAGGAGGCATCAGGGAGACAAGCCAACACAGGCCTGTGGAATGCTGCCCCAGAGCACTGGGCCGGGGCTGGCTGGCAAGCCAAGAGGGTTTACCAGAATGGTTTAGACTGGACAAAAACGGAGGGCCCCAGGAAGGATGCAACCAACGCTGTGCCCAAAAAGAGGGAGTGGGAAAGGCAACCTGTAGCCAGATTCCAGGGGACCCCAGACCTTGGGATGGCAGACCCAGGCTCAGTCTAGCAGGTGATGAGAGCCACTGAGCCATGCTGCACAGGAGAGCAGACCCCAGGGCAGGACTGGGCCTGAGCTGGGGAGCCTGGTGAGGAATCCCTGCAGCCTGGCTGTGGCCTGAGGAGCCTCCCCAGCAGCTCAGCTAGAGCACCAGCCTCAGTCTCGCCTCCATGCCCATGCGGAACGCCTTCTCCAGGAGGCATTCCCAGCCCCAGAATGCTCCCTGTGCCTCCCTGAACTCCCCAGCTCACTGCCATCTCTAAAAACACAACAACCAGGCCTTGCAGGCTGTGGCAGAAATTCATCTCAAAGGCCCCATTTTACAGAGCCTTGCTCAAACAATGTGGCCTTTGTCCCAAGGTCCTGGACCCTGAAGGTGGGCCCACACCCTCAGGGCTTTGGTTGTGGGCACTTGATGACCCATTGGTCAGGCCAGGCCCCAGCCAAGAGGGCACAGGGCTCATGTGGTCTCAGGTTCTTGCTGCCCCTTTGGGGGAAGGCCCTGTGGCTCCTGCTACCCCCACCAACAGCCCCTTCAGCCTTAGATTCCCCAAGCTGAAGGAGAGCTCATAGAGAACCAGCTGAGAACAAACTGCTGAGCCTTTGGATCAGGGCCAGTTGGTCCCCAGAATTAGGACTCCCTTCTGGGAGTGTCACCAATTAAGCCCCTGCTTGCCACCTCCAGAAGCTGCATGGCTTCCAAAGAGAGTGAGCTCAGCAACCAACCCCAGCCCTAGCTGGCCTAGCCCAGAGGGTGAGCTGCTCCCAGTTGTAAGAAAGGGAGCTCTGGGCCCTGCCTTCTGTCTCTTCAGGGGTCTTTTGAAAACCACAGGACAAGCCTGGGCAACATAGTGAGACCTCACCTCTATAAAAAAAATAAAAATTAAAAAAATTAGCCAGTCATGGTGGCACTTGCCTGTAGTCCCAGGTACTCTGGAGGCTGAGGCAGGAGGATCACTTGAGCCCAGGAGTTTGAGGTTGCTGTGAGCTATGGTGGTGCTACTACACTTTAGCTTGGGTAACAGAACAAGACCCTCCCTGTCTCTGATCCCTCAGGTAAGGCCACTGCTCCCACTGCCTGCCTGTTCCCCTCCTCTGCATTGTGTGCCAGCTACCATCCACCATCAATGAGGTCCACAGGCCCCCTCCGCAGCCCTGGCCCACCCTTAGCCCACCCAGTCGGCCCACCCTCTCCTGTGGCCTTGTCCTCACCCCAGCTACAATCCCCTTCCCTCACGAGGACCTTATCCTTACTCACCATGGCTTCATAACTGAAATAATCTAAGCTGCTGCTACTGAACCCACTCCTACAAAACTACCGCCCTCCACCCAGCACCCTTCACACCCCACAGCCCCACGAAGTGTGCTGCCTTTCATAAAACTTCCACCCCATTCCCCATCAGGGAGCCTAATGGAATTCACAATGATGGTGGCTTACATTCACTAAGGGGTTGGTTGACTGGGTGTGAGGGAAGGGTGCCACCTCCCCTGCTTTGTCCATCATTTAACCTTTTCTAACTCCAGATTACAGATGAAAACAAGTACTCAGTAATTCGATAATCTGGCTCCAGGAATTCTAACCCAGAGCCCTCCCCAACCACTGCTCTGTAACAGCAGTTTCCTGGTGAATCCTTTAAGCTTGCTGAGGGCAGGGACTTCTCCAACATGTGGGGCACACGATGAGAAGGCCAATATTTATACAATGCAGCACAGTTGTCCCCCCCTTTTTTTTAATGTAAATTGGTCATTTCACTCCTACAGTTAAAACCTTCCTTCCAATGGCTCCAGATCTCCAGATAAAATCCTAAATCTTCATGACAATATGCAAGGTTCCATGCAGTCTGGTCTCATCCTCTGCTAATCTCCTCCTCACACCCACCACATCACCAAAACACACCAGCCTCACCTCCTGGCATTTCCTCAAACACAAGTACAACCCACCTCCGGGTCTCTGCACTTGCTGGTCCTTCTATCTGGACTAGTATTTCCCTAAATATCTGTACTGTCCACTCTTCCTTCGGAAGCATCTGTTCAAATGCGACTGGAGCAGAGACCATTCCTGACCACTCTATCCAAAATAGCACCCACCCATTTTTGTCCTTACAGACAGGTCTCACTCTGTTTCCTGGGCTGGAGTACAGTGATGCGATCATAGCTCACTGTAGCTCTGAACTCCTGTGCTCAAGCAATCCTCCTGCCTCAACATCCCCCACTCATCACTCTTATCTCCTTAACCTGTTTTATTTTTCTTGCTAGTAGTTATTACCACCTACCATATATTTCTTTATGGTCTCCCTGCTCTCCCTACCAGCATCCAAATGTAAGCTCCTGTTTTAACTCTGGTGCCTAGAACTCTGCCTGCCAGGATACTCAAAAATATCTGTTTATGTGAATGACAACCTCTGTTCCCTTGACCTATCTCCAATCTGTCCCTCTCCATCAGACCCCTCCTGTCTTCACTCCCACTATCACCTCACCACCCCATCTTGCCAAAATCCCCTATTCTTCTGCCTTCCATCAAACCTGTTGGAAGACACTCCTGGCTGGATGCATGCCACTGTCCACATTTTCTTACCGGTGCCTCACCATGAGAAAGCCCATTACCAAGCACAAACCCCGTCAACTCTGGGTCCTCAGCGCCAGCTTGGCTTTCGCGTTAGAAAACTCCTCCTTTAGCCCTCCCATGTGGTAGCTGGTAACAGACCCTTCCTTCAACACAGAGACCATCAACAGGCACCAAACCAAGAAACTTGTCTGTCTACACCCATTTCTGCGTCCATCTGCTTTTCACAAGGGAAGGATGGGGGGCGTGCTACTTTTCTTCCCGGCTGCACTCAGGGGTCAGAGACCCTCCGGCCCCTTTCACCTTCACGACAGCGCCCCCCACCTCCCGCGCTGGCACAAGTCTCCACCCCCAATCCCCGTCAGGCTGCGGGCCCCTCTTGTCACCTTCACAGCCCGTGCAGACTCTAGGAACCCCACTCCATCTCTGATTCCCAGAAGCCTGACCGTCCAGACCTCCCGGCAGTGGCATCTAAAGGCCATCCTCCGCCCCTCTCCGTTTCACCCTGGGGCCCCTCCCCCAGCTGCAAACGCTCTCCCCAGGCTTCTGCTGCGCTCCCCTGGCCCTCCCGCTCCCCGCTTTCCCCCTGAAGCCCTTCCGAGCCCACGACGGGCGGCGCGCTTGCCGCCCGGCTCCGCGGCAGCAGGCGTCCGCTCGGCCACCCCGCCCCGGGGCTGTACGACCCGAGGCGGAGACCGCCGGGTCCTCGGCGCGGCCGGCTCCCTCCGCAGGCCGGCACGGGGCGCGGCACACAGGGGGCGAGCGCGAGTGTGTGCGCAGCGCGTTCCGGCGAGGACTGGTGCCTTCTCCACCCGGGAAGAGCACCATTCCGGGCGGCCGCTCCGGGAAACGCTCCCGCTTCCGCACGGCCAGCACCCGGGACCGGCGCAGGGCCCGACCGCGGCCGCAGACGCGCCGGGGGCCAGGAGTCCCGCGAGGCCGCCTCTCCCAGGCGGTTCCCACCAGGCAGGGGCACCGCCCGCCACCCGGGTGACAACGCTCGTGCCGAAGCCCCGCCACAGCCGCCCAGCGGCCGGCCCCCAGACCTCCGGGCGCGTCGCCGCGGGCGGCCCGCCGAGGTCGCTGGCGCCGCGGGGGCGACTCACTTGGAACAGGTGGTAGCCCTCGGTGCCGCCCACGGTCTCCTCGGCGCTGTTGCCCAGGCCCATGACAGCGGCTCCGCTCGGCGCCCGCGGCCGGTACAGCTGAGCGGACGCGGCAGGCCGACCGGGCTTCCAGCACGGGCCGACTCTCTCGGCGCTCGATTGCCTGCGCCTCGTCACGTGCGGAGCGTGCCGCTCCCGTTCCACACGCTGACGCTCTAGCAACCGGCCGGCAGCGCCGTTTCCAAGGACGCTCGCGCCTCCACCTTTCGGCCGCGAGAGGCGTGCCTAGGACCCTGACTCCGGAATCCGGCTTCGCTCAGCCCAGCAGACCCGGACTCGGGGCCGCTAGCAGCCCGAGATGGGCAGCAATGACGCCTGCCTTATGGTGCGTGGACCGGAGCTGCCCGGCCGCTCCCCCCGGAGCACTCCGCCCCTGGCCCAGTGACCCCGCGCCCTGCTGCTCTCCTGCCGCCCCTCTGGCCGCCCTCCGCTGTCCCCAGCAGTCTCAGGCTGTCCTGCCCTTTCTTGCCTCACTCTCCCTGGCAAGTGCATCGCCTTCTGTGCCCTCTGTGCACCCGGAGCCCCAAGTTAGCACCCCGCACCCAGTCCTGTCCCCTGAGCATCCCCAAACCAACCCATCCATCTCCATCATCTTGCCATCATCCCTTCCACTTCCACCCACCCCACCCCCGCCTGCTCCTCCTCCGCATCCCCCACCTCAGTGGACGGCACCTTCATGTGATCTCCCAGGCTCCGTTCGTACCTCTTCCACATACCCGTTTTGCAATCCTTTCTATCAAGAAATGTCAGCTTCCAAATGTCTTCTGGGCTCATCCAGTTCTTTTTTTTTTCCTAGCCCAGGACCACCCCCATCTCTTCCCTGGGCACCTGCCACAGCCTCCCTCCCATCTGCTTTCCCTGCTTCAGCATTCTTCGCCACTGCACACACACAGCAGCCAGAGTGCTTTTTGCAAAAACATATGTCTGAACACATCCCTCTCCTTGAAACCATTCCAACTGCTTCCTATTATTACCCTTCGGATGATGTCTGGTCTCTTTCAAATGGCCCAACACCAACAAACTGTAGGGGAAGTGAGATTTAGGTTTAAAATCTCAGCCCCTATGGCTGCATGACCTTTGTCAAGCTGTAGTCTCCATGGGCTTCAGCTTTCTTAAGTGTGAAAGATATAGAGAGAGTCATTCACAAGCCCTCGATAACAGTTCTCAGTAGGTGGTTAGCCCACGATAACTTTTAACTACAACTATTGGTTGTAGTTAAGTATTTTTTCTTATTATTGGTCTTCACTCTTTCCCCTTATTCCATTCATAACACAAAGCCTGAGTTGAATTCCCTATCACATTTGAACAAGATTCTGTTGATAATCCCCAAACACCTCCAAACTCCTTTCCAGGCAACTGCATGGAGTGGTTTCTAGGATTGCTAAAAGACAGGATGCAGCCTGAATGTTCTCTCTTTCTCCTCCCTTTGCATAACTGAGGAAGAGAAGGGGCTAGGGCAGGGAGCAGGTCTCATCCCATCTGGGACAGAACAGAGACAGAGAAGGGACAGGGGCTATTGCATCTGTGTCTTCCTCCATGCAGGCTAGGATCATTTACTATAGCCAGGAAAAGTACTTCCACCACATGCAGCAGGCTGTGGCTGTGGGCTTGGAGAAATATAGCAACGACCCTGTGTTGCAGTTCTTTAAAGCCTATGGAGTCCTCACGGAAGGTAAGTACTTGGCAGCGTTGCTCTTCTGACCCCAGGAGTTATGTTCCCATGGAAACAGTCTTATATCCAGTGGCCGAATTTCCACATTAATCCACAGAAGCCTATGTAATCCCTGTGGTTGACTTTTGAGACCTCAGAGTGCTCACAATCCCTGCTCTGCTGCCTCAGTTTCCCTATCTGTAAAATGAGTGGTTGGAGAGATGGCTGCATGACTGTTGAACTAATTCCAGGCTTGGATGCTGAGAGCTGGTAGTACAGGAAAAGGAAGAGGAAGTGGTAGGTGTGGGTACAGACAGGTATGGTACATGCACAGGGAGAGGAGAGGGGCCCATGCAGGCACGGACTTGCCAACATGCAAGAGGCAGTCCTGGGCTGAGGGCTGGCTGAGCTGCCCATGGCCAATGTTAGTGGACATGGTGGGACAAATGGAATCAGTAGCTCTTGAACACCAGCTGGGAATGCCTTGCCTAAGTTCCTTTTACAGAACTGACCCAGCCAATAATTCTAGCCTCACAAGTATCCCACAAGTACTCATAGATACACTTCTCAGCTAGAAGACCTCCAGCCCCTGGCAACCTGGGCCATGGTAGCAACAACCGTTTCAGGGAGCTCCATTCTTTGGGGAACTCAGGTCATTGGGTACCTTTCAAACCAGTTAGTTTTCTGATTCTGGGTAAAGCCAGGTGGTGGCAAGCCATGAGTCAGCTATGATAGAGATTGCTTGTGTCTGCTACAGAATCTCCTGGCTTCTGGGACTGGAGCCTGAGAGTATAAACACGTGGACTCTATTTGCAGAGCACATCCAGGATGCCATCAGCGACCTGGAGAACATCCAGAATCACCCAGACGTGTCCTTGTGCTCCACCATGGCCCTCATTTATGCTCACAAATGCTGTGAAACCATCGGTGAGTGCAGCCGTGCTCAGCCAGACCTGGCCCCACAGGGGAAAGAAAGCCCCACTCCAGAGACTCAAGGGCTGCCAAAGGAGATGTGTGCACTGGTGACTTTTGCAGATGCTGTTGGCCAGCAAGGAGTGGCTGCTGCTCCCCTCCCCTAGAGGCCTCAGAGAAAGCCCCATGACTGTGCCTGCCTGGTTGAGTGGGAGCAGGCAGAGAGAATGACAGTGGGAGAGGTCCTCCCTCCAGATCCCAAGAGTTGGGGAGACACTCTTCTTTTCTTTTCCAAGACCCTGTCAGAAAAATCAAGCCAATAATTCTACTCCTAATCTCCACCTCTCCAGATTCAGGAAAAGGTTCCCAGAAAGACTGTAAACTGCTATTTCCCCACCCAGCATGAGTTATGGGCCTGAGGCAGAGAATTCAGTTATGGTCTGTTTGCTCAGCACACTGCTGGGCACAGAGAAGAAAAGATATGTCTCAGACAATAAACCTGACTCCAGGCCTGTGCAGCCCCCTGGCATCTCAGGGGCAGGTACTGCTGGTCTTCAGGCCCTGCGGCACGCAGCAGGCTACATGTGTTGAGAGAGACCCACAGTGTCTAGAGGTGGTTCCCTGGGTCCTGGATCGCCCTGCAGAACCAGGGGCACCCTAACTCATCCTCTTCTTCCTCTCTTGGACTTACAGACCGAGAAGCAATCCAGGAGCTAGAGTGCAGCCTGAAGGAATTACGCAGGACAGCCAGTGATACTGCCCTGTACTATGCCAGCCTCTTCCTCTGGCTCGTAGGCCGCCATGACAAGGCCAGAGAGTACGTTGACCGCATACTGAAGGTCTCCTGTGGCTCCAGAGAAGTACCCACCACAAGCGTCATGAGGGTAACAGCTGAAGAAAGTAGTGTCCCAAAACATCGCAGCAGGGTAGCCCATTATGCTCACAAAGGGCCCTGAAACCAGGGGAGGGCCGCACCCAGGCACCGGCAGGACTGGGTCTCACACGTGCCCCACCCACGTTGTCTCAGGGCTTAGCGGAGATTACACGTTGGCATTTGTCCAGCGTCCGATCCGTAGATAGGTTTTCTGTGGCCTGTACTATTTTTTTTTAAAGCCTTTAGTTAGTTGCTGACATTTAGAAATCAGAAGATTTTTTTTTACCTAAGAAGTCCAGATTTTCTAATTCTTTTGAAAATCCAGCTGAGCTGCCACACTGGGCCACTCCCTCCCGTAGTGATCTGCTGGCTATGAGTGGTGGCTCAGCTCACAGGCCTGGGCTAGCAGGACTGATATCAGTGTTCAAGGGTATACAGATTGGTTCTTGGGGGAGGGGATGAAGAAAATCTTACTCTTTATGTATAAAACATAGATATACATACACAGATATGGGGGGGAGAGAGATTCAGCAAGCCCACGTTCATGAAGAAAGCCATCAGGTACCTAGAGCAAGGCATTCAGGACACAAAGATGTGCTGGGGCTGATGGGAAAGGTGAGCAGTGGGGAGGGGAGAGACGGGAGCTCTCCTGGCTGGGCCACTGGAGCCAGAGGTGCACCGGTGCCTAGGCCAGACCTCAGTCTCCAGGTGCCTCATCTTGTAGTGAATGAGCAGAGCCCAGAGGGGGCCTAGCACCGCCCAGGTCCACAGCAGCCCAGGCCCAGTCTACTTCTACCACTCCTTCCTGCTTGCTCTGAGTCTCTGTCTCATTCTGCATGGGGAGCGCTTCTCAGGGCTGCCTTGTCAGTGTCTGTCCCGCCTTGGCTCTCTCAGGCTTTCTTTCTTTGCCTCTTCCTTGGTTTTATTCATTGCTCCTTTCCTCCCTCCCTGCCTCCCTTCCCTCCTTCCTTCCTCCTCCCTCCTCTCCCTCCTTCCTTCCCTCCTCCCTCTCCTCCCTCCCTCCTTCTTCCTTCTTCCTTCCTTCCCTTCCTTCCTTCCTTCCTTCCCTTCTCCTTCCTTCCTTCTCCTCCTCCCTTCCCTTTCCTTCCTTCTCTTCCTTGCTTCCTTCTTCCTTCTTCCTCCATTCCACCTCTTTTCACCTGTTAAATTTGCTTAGTGGGCCATAAAAGAAGGAAGGTATATTTTATATGTTCTGTTTGTTCTGACCTTAAGTTTCCTTTTCTCTCATGACCCTCACGGAAACAATCTTTGAGAGAAAAATCACATTCTCATTCTCTTCTGTCTGTGTTGTTTTTCTTATAAATATGAATACCTACTTATTAAAAAACAGACGTCTAAAACAGTCAAAAGATGAATTACAATGACAGCCTCAGTCCTGCCACTCTACAACAACTCAGGCTAACATTTGAGGGCAGGGTCTTCCAGCCTTTTTGCCGTGCTTGGGTTCAGTGCGTGCCTTTGGTTGGCTTTCTGGGCGGCAGCAGCAGCAGCAATGGAGATTATTGTGAGGAGACTCGTCACGGAGCACGTTTGGGGCCCACACCTGTGGGGAGAGAAGGTGGGCTGTGGACAGTCACAGCGCAGGCCTCGGCCAACTGCACAGGGAACGCTGGGGCCGGGACTGCCCTTCAGTGAGTGCCCCTCAGTGCCGAAGCACTGGGTGTGGCTGCTCCAGGGAGGCGTGTGACCTGGTGTGAGGCAGCTCCCTTCAATCACGGTGACCTCAGGAGGGAGACGCCACTGAGCGTCATCAGCTGCCAACTTCTGGGCCTGAAGAAGGGTCACACACAGCAGTCACTAGAGGGTGGGAGATAGAGTTGTTGTGTAATACAGTTTTAACCCTAGGGCATATTGTCATTTAGTTTCTTTTTCTTTGTGCATATACTGTCATAAGGCAATGTCAGTTTGGGCATCTCCATAACGGCCAATC